CAGCGCCCACCGCCCCAGCGGTGTGTCTGCACTGCGTGGGTTTGTGCAGGGCTGTGAGGGTGTGTGGTCACCCTGGGAGTGGCAGTGGGGAGGTGTGGGGTGGGTGGCCAGTGGCACAGGGGGACAGAGGGACCCCAGCTCACCGCAGCTGTGGGCTGGGAAGACTTTGGGTGCCGTCACTCGCTCTGCTGGGGTGGGTGGGGGCTGTTGCACTGGTAAAAATTTACGAGGGTGGGAAATGGGCCGTGGTCAGGATGTGGGAAATCCCTCCACATGGCTCTTTCCAGACTTCACAGGCAAATCCTTCCCTCTCCGTGCCAGGACGATGGCGTCACCCGGGTCTGCTGGAGAGCCCAGGGCCGCACTCCTGCTGCTCCAGCCCTCCCAGCAGGGCGGCCCGGAGCGTGGCTGATGTGTGTGTGCCGTGGTGTGAGCAGCTGAGCTGCCCCCCGGGCCCTGCTGCCCTCCCCGCGGGCAGGGCTCTGCCCTTATCAGCGGGTCCAGCACAGCCCCCCCCCCCGCTGCCAGGCTCTATCTCCCGGCCGCTTTCCTTCCTTCCTCCCGGGGCGTGCCGTGCTCCCAGCCCGCCCGGGCTCAGCAAACCTGCTGCCGTTGCCCAATGTCCCTGCCCCACGCAGAAAAATGGGAGAGGATGTTCTAATGGCAGCGTGGGCGAGGTGTGTGCTGGCTGCCTGCACACCTCAGGGGCTGGAAGGGATCCCAGCACCCACTGGGCATCTGAACTCCGTCTTCCCACCCCAGCCATCGCAGAGATGGGGATTTAAGCCCCTGTGGGTGTCCACGCTGACCACGTGGCTCAGTGATGAGGGAGAAGGCAGCTTAAAATACCCCCTGAAGCACGGAGGGCCTCTCTGGAGACTCAGAGTGAAACCCTGCGTCTTTTGCTGACTGAGTCCATTGCAACAGGGCTGGAACACGTGGGGAAAAGATGGAGTACTTTTCCTTTTTTTTTCCCTCAATAATATTTTTTCGTTTCAAGAGCTGTTTGTGCTGGGCTGCTTCTCTCCAGATCTGAAACTTGAGACTGGAAAATGGTACAAAGCTTTTCGAGAGGGAGCAGGATGGGGGAAGGTTCTGGGCGGCCCCTACTTGGGTGTGAGTCCACTGGGGCTCGATGCTCAGAGCAATTGCACCAATCGAGTTTCCTACCCAGAGCTCTTAATAACTATGGGAGCATCTTTTAATGCAGCTCCAGCCTTGAGAGAGGTCTTCAAAGCGCTTGTGAATCATTTATGGGCAGCAGCTCTGCCTGATGGACTCTTGGGTGTGAGCGGCAGCGGAGGTTGTGGGGGTGTGTGGGGGCTCTGTGGCATTGCTGACCCCTTTGTCACTGCCCTATGGAGACGGAGAGGGAGGAGCGGGAGCTCCTTGTGCTCTGGGTGATGGGCGTGATAGATGCTTGTGGGGGACCTGCACCCTTGGATGGCTCAGAGCTGCTTTCTCCTCCAGCTTAATTGCACCAGCCTGATGCACTGTTACTCCAGCACCAGTAATGTTGCTTCCCCACACACCAGCAGGCTCAGGGAGAGAGATCCTAATCCTTTTCCAAGCATCTATGAACCCTGTGCTGCTTACACTGCCCTCTGACCAGGTCTGCTCTGCAGAGTTGTCTCCAGTGTCTCAGACAATGGTTGTGCTTGGATGTCCCAGTTCTGCTCACTTGGCCTTACTGATGGTCCCTTTGTGTTGCTCAGACCATCCCCACGTGTTGTGGTGACGCCTTGTACGAGCCACATCACTTTTTCCATCACTTTCTTCCTTGGGTGTGCTTCCTTGGGTCAGCACTTGCTGTGATTCACCCCGGGGCTGGGAGCCAGCCCTGGTCACCTTCCTTGTGCCTTGCCTGGCTGAAGAGTAAAACCTCATCCCAGTTGCTCCCCAGTGACCCCAACACACCTGCCCTCTTTGAGGGCATGGGGGCTTCACCCCCTGCTGCTGCTGGAGCACAGGCTCTGGCAATCGTGGCTGGATGTCAGGCTTTGAGGAGCTTCAGTGGGCAAGAGCTCTGGGAGGGAAGATGGTCAGGGTGGGGGATCTCTTCTTATTGACCAGACCAGGTGACCCCGATCCACCCCCTTCCCATTTATCACTTCCTGTGGGTAATGGCAGCGTCCCCAGTGCATGGATATCTTTTCCAGCCTGAAGTGACATCGTGCTGCCCCAGGACCCTTCTTCCAGCCCAAAGCACAGCTCCTACCAAGCTCAGGACGTGCTCGTGGGTGCTGAGCCTCGTGTCTGTCACCCCCCACTGCTGTCACCCGCCTTGTCCCTGCATTAGGGTGTTTGCTCAGCCATCCCCCTGTGTCAGCTCAGCACGTCACCTCTCACTTCCCTTTTCTGTCCCCAAGACAGAGCTACCTCGTCCACCCCAAGCACCAGGGACTGGGCTGAGGCTCCCTGGGGACCCACAGCCGGGCTGTGCCCTTCAACAGGACTGGCGCTGCCAGGTCTGCCAGGCAGGGAGCCGTGTTCCTGGTGGCATAGCCCTCCATCCTGGGGCTGGGAGGGAGGCAGGGACCCAGGACCGTAGGGATCCAGACAGCCAAGCTTATGGAGCTTATGGCTGTGGATGGAGGCGCCGGCTGGCCCGTTCTCATGCTGAGCATGCCAGCTCTGGAGGGTTGGGTGCCAGCACCAAACACGTGGGGAGCTGGAAAACACCTTCCCACCACCATCCCCCAGGGATTTCTCTGCCTGGCACAGGGTAAGACTTCTTGTGGCTCAGACTCTGTGCTTGTGGGGGGGGGTGGCTGCTGCCCCCAGCCCGTGTGGAAAAGGAGCCTGGAGCCCTCATGGGTCGCTGCCCTCCTCCCTCCTCTCACCCAGTGCCAAAAGCTGCTCTAACGCACAGAGCCGTGAAAGCCGCTCCGGCCGCGCCGCGTGACCGGACAGCAGGTGCCCGCCAGGCTGTGCCAGCTCCCCCGGGAGCTGCAGCACCTCGGGGCAGGCCAGGACTGCCTGGGGAGCTGCTGGGGAGCGGGATTTTAAACGTGCTGCAAGCCTGCTGTGCTGGGAAGCCTTGCCAAGGGCTGTCTGGGGTGCGATGGGGACAACTGGGGATGGGGTTTTGGGGTAGGGGTGTAAGAATGGGGCTGTGTAAGACTCTGGCTCTGATTTCTGCGCTGCTGGCTCTGCTGGCTCTCACCACTGAGAGCCATTGCCCAGAGCTGGAGGAGGATAAGGGTGTCCCAGGGATTGCTCTGACCCCACCGTGTTCCCATTCCCAGCTCTCCAGAGCAGCTGGCATCTCAGGCTTACTGCTGGCTGCCCTGGGAGGAAAACAAACAGTGTCTCCAGCGGGATGGAAAGTTTTGCTTGCTGGGGCTGGCGTCGTCCCAGTTTAGCAGCTCTGAACTAGCGAGCATGGTACTTGTGTTTCATGCCTGCTCTTCCTGGGTGTCTTACTTCCCAAGAGCTTTGCATGGCAGCAGCAGGGGAAAGCTCCTTGCCTGCCCAATGCTGTTCCCTGCCACAGAGTGAGTTGCATTGCTGTAAATGGAGGCTTTTCCCTTTCCTGCTGCTCTGTGCCAGAGGCTGATCCATGTCCGTGTCCAGCCACCTGCAGCCCTGTCCCTGTGGTCCAGGGATCACTGAGCTCAGCTCTCCCTCTCCCAGGGTGTTCCTGCAGCCCTCTCCTGCTTTCCCATGCCTGGCTTTCCATCGCAGCCTCTCTCCCCACAGGCGAGGCGGGAGGAATTCAGCCGTGTCCCAGGGCTCCCGTGCATGAAGGGCGGAGGAAGAGCGAGGCTGCCGTGGGTGTTTGCCATCAGGACACACTGCACAGGATCCCTGCCACTCTTATGAGGTAAGGACACCCTGGTGGGGCCAGCCCTATCTGGGGAAATTTGGGAACTGGTTGCTCCCAGCTTTAGTGCTGGAGAGGGAGCCCAGCACCCTTTTTAACGCAGGGACAGCAGGCTGTCACCTGGCCCAGGAGCTGACAGAGGGCAGCAATTCCCAGTGGTGCCGCCAGCTCCAGGCTCCTCCGTCCCCAGGGAGCTGGTTCTGGACTTCCACATCCCCACAGAGCTGATCCCATGGGCACCCCACACTCCTAAAGCCAGGCTTTGCTTGTGGTGGGGTTTAAAGGGGAGGGTTGTGTTCAAGAGTCCAAGTGCTGGGGGAGCTGCAAAAGTGTCCCTGTGCCTGACTCTTGCTTTGGGAATGGGCTGCCGATGGGATCCAGTTGCAGAGGGGGCTGGTGGGATCCCAGTCACTCAGCTGGTTGCTCAAGTGATGTTTCCTAAGGAGGGTGGAGCCATGGGAGGCTGATTATTGGGATCCTGAGCAGGGACAGGAGCCAAGCTTGTGGACTGAGCTGGCATTTCGCAGGTAGTGGCACTGGACAGGCACAGCAGGTGACGCCATCCCCGTGGCCATGGCTGTCCTGTGGGGACAAGGGATGCTTGTGAGACCTGTGTGAGTCCCTTGTGCACATGGTCAGGGGGGACAGGAAGAGGTCAAAGGGGGCTGTGCCTCCCTTTGATTACCCCCATAGTCCCTAATAGGCTCTGGGACTCGCTCTCTTGTGCTTAAATGGAATTACTTTTCCTGCAAAGTCTTGCCTGATAGAGCCAACTGCAGGGACCCTTGGGAGGGGATTGCTTGAGGAATTAACCACCTCTTGGCTGTTAAGCTTCCTCCTCCTTGCACGTGGTGCCAGGGAGGAGGATTCAGTCTCCCAGCCTGGCATGTGCATGCACGTGCCAGAGGGGAATGTCCTGCATCTCCCCTCCCATGGGGCACCCAAACACATGGTGGGTCCATGTGGGAGCTGTCCCCTGGGTTTTGGGGGTGCAGCAGCTGGGCTGATGGTGGCAGGGTCTCACCAGCACAGCCAGTGGCACAGGGGGCTGAGTCTGGTGACATCCCACTGGGACCCAGCCTTTCTCCCCCCACATGAGCTCCTGGGGAGATGCTTTTTCTGCTCTCACTGCCCTCCTGCACCCTGCCAGCCTGCCGACCGCCGCCGGCCCGCGATGTCAGCCGGCGACAAGAACGGGGGCAGCCGCTCCAGCAGCAGCCGCCTGCAGAGCAAGAAGCCCCCCAACCTCTCCATCGTCATCCCGCCCCGGGAGGCGGAGGAGGATGGTGCCCCCAAGGAGGTGAGTGATGGAGCTGCATCTGTCCCATGCTGATTTTGAGGGGCTGCTGTTCCTGGGGCACCCCCCCCCCGTGCCATCCTGTCCCTAATGCCCTGCTCTGCCTTCCAGCCCTCCAAGGTCCCCATCTACCGGAAGAGCAAGAGCCTGCAGGAGCCCCGCCTGGAACGCCGGCACGGATTCCGCCGGCAGACATCCCTGTCCCAGAGCATCCGCAAGTGAGGGCAGGGAGGGCTCCAGCAGTGGCTGGGTCACTTGGAGGGGTCCCTGTCAGGTTGTTGTGGGTACTGGCAGAGCGCTTGGGATGGGAATGGAGAGTTGTGTCTCAGAAGGGAATGCGAGAAGGACTTTCCCCCACTTGCCTTCATCCCACTGCCCTGCTTCAGGCTGGGCTGAGACACCCCAACCCAGACCACCTGCTAGAGGGCATACCTGGGTGGAATGGTGGTGTTGGAGTGGGGGGACCAACCGTGTGACAGGTGTGCCCACCTTGTGTGCAGGGGCACAGCGGAATGGTTTGGTGTCAGCAGCGACTGGGAGGGGAAGCGCCAGCAGTGGCAGCGCAAGAGCCTGCAGCACTGCAGCATGAGGTATGGCAAGCTGAAGCCTGCCTATCGCGACATGGAGCTGCCCAGCCAGGAGGTGCCCTCCTTCCAAGGCACCGAGTCGCCCAAGCCTGCCAAGATGCCCAAGGTAGAGCTCGGCTGAGGGGGTTTCCTGCTCCCAAGCCTTGCTCTCCCAGCACTGACACCTCTTCCCTCCTGCAGATCGTGGACCCGCTGGCCAGGGGCCGTCCCTTCCGCCACCCCGACGAGACCGACCGTCCCCACACGCCCCACCATGTCCTGCCCCCGCTCACCCCCGGCGTTGTCTCCTTGGCGTCCTTCAACAGCATCCGCTCCGGCCACGGCCGCCTGCCCCGCAGGAAGAGGGAATCCGTCGCCCACATGAGCTTCAAGGCGGCTGCAGCCCTTCTCCGTGTGAGTTTTGGGAGCCTGGGGGGAATCATTTTCTTACTGACCCAGGTTTCAGCTCTGTCCCTCGCCCATCACCTTTGCTTCCTGGCTTTTGGCTTTACGTGGACATTCCTGTCTCTCCAGGGTGGGTTTGAGAGGAGAGATTGGTGGTTTTTAACCTGAGCTCCACTTAAAAAGGGTTTTGGTGAAAATTGGGCAATCTTAGAAAAAAGCAGCTTCTGGGTTCCGTCGCTGAGGAGCCAGGAAGCGTCTCCAGCAACCTTCTTGCTCGTGATGAGCCTTGGGCAAGCCCTGGGGACACATTTGTGGGACTGAGTCAGATTCAGAGGCCACTTGTCATGCTGACTAACATGGCCATGGCCCAGTGCTGGCTCCGAGGAGCTAAAGGCAGCTCTTGCTGCCAGCTCCTGCTGCCAGTCTTTCCCACACAGGGGAATATGGTGGCTGACTGGGATTTAATCCTTGCCCATGGGCTTTGGGGAGGGAAGTTACGAGAAACCCTCAGTGCTGCAAACCCTGGGGGGCTTCCACTTGCTTACCCTCATTTGCTTGCCCTGCCAAAGGGACGCTCTGTCCTAGAGCCTCTGGCTCCCAAGAGGAGGAGCAACAAGAGGAGCTTTGTGTACCCCAGCTTCATGGATGAGGACATGGTGGACGCTGCTGATACCCTGGACTCGTCCTTCTTCAGTAAGGCAAGTGACGTTCCATGCTGGCCATGGGGACGGGGGGCTGTCCCAGCGCCCCTGAAGAGGGGCTGGGTGTGTAACAGGGCTCTCACAAGGACCCCTGTGTCAGTGCTTCTCCTGCCCCACAAGCAGGGGCATCAGTGGCTGCTGTGCCCCAGTCTTGGCGATGCTCCTTGGGGGCGTCAGGGAATGCTGTCACCGTCATGGGAACATTTCACACCCCATGATGTGCAGTTAATGAGATGTCAGTGGGGATCACCCCCTCCCCCTGACCTGGGGGATGCTCAGTCTGGGGGAGGCACACATCCAAGAACACAAATCCCTTCTCTTTCCAGATGGACATGCACGACGAGACATACTCCATGCCCGATGATGTCTTCGAGTCGCCACCTCTATCAGCCACATACTTACGCATGCACCATGTGGGGGAGGATGCCAGGGTGTCCCCTGAGATGGAGCAGCCCACCCCGTGAGTACCAACTCTCAGCAGGCACTGCCCTGCTGCAGGCAGGACAAAGTCCCCAGCCATCCCTGCTGTGCTCCTAGGAGGGTGAAACCAGGAGGAGCTCCCAGCCGTTATCCCAGGATATCCCTGTGGCCACGGGTTTATTTCTCAACTGGTGCCTTTTGGCAGCTGTGATGGGTTTCTCCTCTCTCCACAGGCGGGAGGGTGCCCGGCTCGCCTCGGTGTCTGGCGGCGCGGGCGCGGCCCCCCGGCGGGGCAGGCGCATCGCCTCCAAGGTGAAACACTTTGCCTTCGACCGCAAGAAACGCTACTACGGGCTGGGCGTGGTGGGCAAGTGGCTGAACAGGACGTACCGCCGCAGCCTGAGCAGCATCGTGCAGTCACAGCTGGAGATCACCGACAGCCACCGGTGAGGGGCACTGATGGCACGGGACACCCCGGCTGTAACCCAGATGTGTGTCCCCCTCAATGCGTGGGGACCAGGGCTGGGGAGGGGCTGCAGTGTCCCTTTGCCCAGCCACCCTTGGGCTGCTCAGATGTTGGGTCCTGTTCCCTGCAGGCCGTATTTCACGTACTGGATCACCTTTGTGCACATCCTCATCACCTTGCTGGTCATCGGCACCTACGGCATCGCCCCCATCGGCTTCGCCCAGCACGTGACAACAGATTTAGTAAGTTTAAGAGCCTTCTTCCTGGGGGGGTCACAGTCCCAGGGTGTCACATTCCCTGCAAGAGCTGGGAGCGTCTTGGGGGACTCCTGCTGTTTGAGAGGCTCCATGAAATAGCCAGGGCATGAGGATGAGCAGCAGCATGTGTGGTGGGAGCAGAGCTGTTCTCCCTCCAGCCTTGGTGCTGGGACCCAGCAGCCCTTCCCCTGCTGCTGGGGAAGATGAAGGAGGCTGCTCAGCCCCTCAGGAGTGGAAGGAGAAGGGGATGTACCCCCATACCTCCTGTTTCCCCACTGGGAGCTGATCCTGGCCTCTCTTGGCAGGTACTGAGGAACAAGGGGGTTTATGAGAGTGTCAAGTATATCCAGCAGGAAAACTTCTGGATTGGGCCCAGCTCGGTAAGGACCCTGCCAGACCCTTGGCCCTTGGTTCCAGGCTCTGCCCTCTGCTGCTCTTGCCCTGAGCTGAGGGGATTCTCTGAGATGCTTCTCTCCTTGGGTGGGGGAGAGCTTGACCACATCATTCCAGCCTGCTGCCCCGGTTCCTCAGTGCCCCCATCCCTCTGGGACCTGCAACATCACAGTGGGATGGTCAGAAGAGACCCCATCCCCTTCCCACCTTCCTTCTTCCCACTGGGGTAACAGAGACCTGTGTCAGTTGCCTGTGGTGACCCCCCCTGCCCCTGCTGAGCTCTCCCCGGGGGCAGCTGGAGGGAAGGGAGGTGTGCAGACAGAGCATCCCCTAGACTGGCATCTCCCTCCCAGATTGACCTGATCCACCTAGGAGCCAAGTTCTCCCCCTGCATCCGGAAGGATCGGCAGGTGGAGCGGCTCATCCAGCGCGAGCGGGACCGGGAGCGCGGCTCCGGCTGCTGCGTCCAGAACGACAACTCGGGCTGCATCCAGACCCTGCCGCAGGACTGCTCGGTGTGTGCCGCTGCCATGGGCACTGGGAGGTGCTGGGGATCCCTGGGGAAAAGGGGGAAACCATCTCTGCCCTGCACAGCACCAGGGCACGGTGCATGTGGGGTCAGAGTGTGCATTCCCTGTCGCATCCTCAGTCCCTCCATCCCTCCCACAGGAGACTCTGGCGACGTTCATCAAGTGGCCAGGCAGCAACGCACCAGCCATGGGCTCGGGGGACAAGAGGACATCAGGGGCTGTGTGCCATCAGGACCCCAGGTAAAAGTGACAGCTGGGCAGAGGTGGCACAGTCACCTGGCTGTGTGCAGGACATGGCAGAGGGGCTGCCCAGGGCTGCCTTTGCAGTTGGGATGCCTTGAATCCTCTTGTCCAAGGGGCCAAGGGGCTCTTGAATACCATAGGAGAGTGAGAAGGAAGAGGGAATCAGGGAAATTGGGGTGGGGCCTGTCCTAAATGCAGGCAGCAATGGGTGACACTGGTCCCTGTTCTGCTGGGATAGGTGGTGCTGGTCAGGACATCAGTGGGGTGGTGGGAGTGCTGTGGGGTTCATCTGCGGAAGGAGTTGCTGTGTGTGGGGGGCAGGATCCCTCCCGAGCCAGGGAAAGGGGCAGGTCCCAGGGCTGTGTGTGTCTGAGGGCAGTACTAGTCTGCAGGGAGGGATGTCCTGGGGGAACCCACCTGACTCACCCACCTGCTTCCACCAGGACCTGTGAGGAACCAGCATCCAACCCACCCCATGTGTGGCCAGATGACATCACCAAGTGGCCGGTAAGAGCCCCGTGCCACCGTGAGCTGGTGACTCCGTGGTGGCAGCAGGCAATGAGCAGGCAGGGGGCTGCAGGCAGAGCCTGGGGCTGGACCCTCACCAGGGCTCCTCCCCCTCCTGCTTCTAGATCTGCACCTATGAGACCAAAACCAACCACACAGGCTTTGCCCACCTGGACTGTGAGATCAAGGGCAGGCCCTGCTGCATCGGCACCAAGGGCAGGTGGGTCACAGCGATGGGGGCACCAGGCCTGGCTCCCTCCTCTGCCCTCCTGCCTCGTGTTGTCCCATCAGTGTCCAGAGCTGTGGCAGAGTGGGGAGGGAGATTATGGAGCCTCGTGGGGTGGGAGGCGTGGTGGCAGCAGGACCAGCTGCCGGGAGCAGAGGGGGATGCTCAGGGGAGCAGGGAGTGTGCCCTGCCCCGAGCGAGCCCCCTGCCTGCCCTCTGCCAGCTGCGAGATCACGACGCGGGAGTACTGCGAGTTCATGCACGGCTACTTCCACGAGGAGGCAACGCTCTGCTCGCAGGTGAGCAGGGCCAGGGAGGCACGGCCGTGGATGTGGGATGGCCATGCCAGCAGCCATGCTGCTGCCAGAGTGTCCTGTCAGGAATGGGACGCGGTTGGGATGGGTGTGAGCAGGAGGGATGCAAAGCACAGGGGCTTGAGCCAGCCTGACCTGGGCAGCACTGGTGTCCTTGGGAAAGGCACATCCTGGGCAGGAAAACAGCCCTTCAGCATCTCCTGGGGCACTGGGGATGCTCAGCTGCTCCTTTTCCAGCATCTGGGCAATGCGGGTCCACCACACCACCCAGGGTCCCCCCACAGCTGGCACACGGATCGCTGGCTGCACATCCCTGGGATCCATCCTTTGCTCCCTGTGGCTCTGGGGTCAGGGCCGAGCCCTCACCACCCCCCAACCCTCTCCCTCTGCAGGTGCACTGCCTGGATGAGGTCTGTGGGCTCCTGCCCTTCCTCAACCCTGAGGTCCCTGACCAGTTCTACCGCCTGTGGCTGTCGCTGTTCCTGCACGCCGGGTGAGCCACAGCCCTCTGTGCCCACAGGGGTGGGGGGAATGGGGATAGGGGTGTCCACTGGGATGGTCTGGGACTCCTAGTGGGGTGGGAGAGAAGAGGGAAGGGCACCCCCACACTGCAGTGACACATGCTGTCTGTGGAGGGTACTTTGTAAGATGTCTTGGGCCCCAGGGCAGTGGGTGGGAGGGCTGGGCAGGGGTCTCTAACACAGGGTCTCTCCCTCAGCATCCTCCACTGCCTGGTGTCGGTGACTTTCCAGATGACAGTGCTGCGGGACCTGGAGAAGCTGGCAGGCTGGCATCGCATCTCCATCATTTTCATCCTCAGTGGCATCACTGGAAATCTGGCCAGTGCCATCTTCCTGCCCTACAGGGCAGAGGTGAGGCCTGGGGGGGGGTCTGTCCGCATCACCTTGAACCTAGCCAGCTCCCCAGGGACTAAAGGACACCCTTCTCCATCCCTGTCCTGGCAGGGATTTGGGGAAGGCTCTGGAGCACAGGGCTCTCATCCCCTGGCAGGTTTTGCTGTAGGGAGGGTGAGGGGCTGGCACACCCTGGTGGCAGGGGGAGAGGGTGTCTGTGCCCCACGTGTGGCGTTCGCACATGCCGTGTGTGCCACACGTCGCCACGTGTCCCTGGGAAGGCCGGGTCCCCAGGCAGGCAGATGGTTAATCTGCTGCCAGCCAAACCCTCTCAGGCTTTAAATGAGATCACACCAAGCGCCCTAATCCCCCTGGGGGTGCGTCAGGATGGGGCTGGGGGAGGCTGTGGTCTGGGAGGAGGTGATGCTTCCTGGCTGCTGAGTCACGGAAAACATCAGCTCTGCCAAAACAGCCCTGATGTGCTGCCTTCCTCTCCCTCCCGTGACAGGGCTCCCACCCCTGAGCCCCACACAGGAGCCTGCACAGGGATGCAGAAGCCAAATGACTTTTGCAAGGGGAGGAGATGATCCCTGGGGACATGGGGATGTGTCTGGGGTAACATGTGCAGTGTCTGGCCATGACTCCCCTCATCCCTGCAGGTGGGCCCTGCCGGGTCCCAGTTCGGCCTCCTGGCCTGTCTCTTCGTGGAGCTCTTCCAGAGCTGGCAAGTGCTGGAGAAACCCTGGAAAGCCTTCCTCAACCTCTCTGGCATCGTCCTCTTCCTCTTCATCTGCGGCCTCTTGCCCTGGATCGACAACATCGCCCACCTCTTCGGCTTCCTCAGCGGCCTCCTGCTCTCCTTCGCCTTCCTGCCCTACATCACCTTCGGCACGATGGACAAGTACCGCAAGAGGGCCATGATCATCGTGTCCCTGCTGGTCTTCGTGGGGCTCTTCGCCTCGCTGGTGGTCTGGCTCTACGCCTACCCCGTGAACTGGCGCTGGGTGGAGTATCTCACCTGCCTGCCCTTCACCAGCAAGTTCTGCGAGAAGTACGAGCTGGAGCAGGTCCTGCACTGACCCTGCCGGCGGGGACAGGGCTGGGAGATGCTTTCCGTGGGGGAGACGGCAGCAGCTGCTCCGGGGTGGGGGCAGGCCCTGGGCACAGCTTCATCCTCAGGGAGGGTGGGTTTGGGGTCCTGCTCGATGCTGGGGATGCAGGGGGGAGCAGGCCTGAGCCAGCCCAGCCTTGCACCCCTTTGGGGCTGCCTCCTGATGCTGACAAGCCATAACTGGTTTTTGGACCGACTCCTGCATGGGGAAGGGGTTGAAGGAGGTGGGATTTTGGTGTATCCATGACCAGGCTGGACTCCCCAGCCCTGGGGTGAAGCTGCCGAGGTCTCCAGCCTGTACCCCTGCCTGCCTGGGCCCCGTCCCACCTCGGTGCCTCTGGGTGCTGCAGCTCATACTGTGAACACAACCCCCTTTCTGCAGGGGCACTTCTTTTTATCTGCAGCCCTTTAGGCCCAGGGTTTCCCCACTTTGGGCTTTCTGGAGTCTCTGTCATTGCTCTGAGATGTTCAGAGTTGAGTTTCAAATGTATTTTTCAGTCCTGTTCCTCTGCAGGCCCTGAAGGAGGCTTGTGCCTCCCCATCTGACTCCTCACTGGATGGAGAGGCAGGACTTGAGACAGGGGGCCTTATCTTCCCCTTATTTCAGTGAAATTCCCTTTTTGGAAGGGGAGAAGCGGCACAGGCCATGTTTGTAGTGCCATGGTAAGGTAGGCAGGTACAGAGAAAAACACCCTAGTGGGCTTGTGTGGCTGCTCCTGAAGCCCTCACACCTCTTGAGAAGCTGTTGGTGCTTCCACGTTCTGCCTTGAGTCCCTGCTGTTACTCTTTTCCCTTCTTCAAAGCCTAGAGACCCAGGTAACCCTCCTTTCCTGAAACAGTGCTGGTCAGACGGAGAAGTGTGGGACTGGGGCAGTTGCCTTCCCCCTTTCCTGCCTCCAGCCCTGGGCTGCTCTCCCAGCATCTCCTCTGCCTTCCCATCAGCCATGGCACGAAGGCAGGTCCTTCTTGGGGTCCAGGTGACCCCTCTGGGCTGGTTTGGACCCAGGCTGGTGCCAGGATGTTCTCCCCTGTTATATGTTGCTTTGGTGCTGGAGGCCTCAGTGCTTTTAAATGGGGGCAGGTGGAAATTCCCTAGTTAGGATATCCTGGGATGAGTATTCAAGGGCTGGGAGCTTGGCTCCCTCTCCACAACCACTTGCCAGGTGATCCCAGGAGCCTCTGGCACCTGCATCCCTCCCTCCATCCGGGGCCAGTTTTCAGCCCTGCTCAGTCCCTCCAGTTGCTGCTCCAGCCAAAGACAGACACTTCACCTCATTTGTCTCTTTTTGATACTTTTTTTAAAAGCTGTGGGTTTTTCCCCCCCCTTAATAAATTTCTACCTGTATTTAATGAGATGCACGAGGCCTCTTCTCCCTTCCCGGGCCTGGGGATGTGAACCACTTTTGGGTGGTTTGGTTGTTTTGGTGATGGTTGGTGTGACAAGGAGGGAGGATGAGTGGGCAGTGCCTGGGGCTGGTGCCCTGGTGTGCCCCTCAAACCCCTCCCTGAGAGGGGACAGGATTTGGAGGGTCTCGAGCAGAAGGAGAAGTCAAATACCCACATCCATGGACTCTCCTGACCCTGCCCATGGGCAGAGCCACCCCTGCCTGTATCTCACCCTTTTCACTGAATGACCCGAGGCTGGATTTGCCCCTTCTCCCTTGAGGCTGAAGTGCCTCAAAGGATGCTGGATTGCTCCCCTTGGGGCCAGCTGGTGCCCTCCTTCTGGCAGGAACACACATGGGCTGTATAGAAAATCACTGCCACATCTTTATTTGCTGCTTCCCAACAGCCTGAGGTGTTTGCAGAAGGATGTGCTCCACTTGTGGGAGGGGTGCAGGGCTGGGGACTCGTGTATGTATGGGCTCTGCTGGGTGTGTCAGCAAACCGCGGTGGGTGTAAGTGCCCTTAAACCACCAGGGCCCCCAGCTGCTCCCAGGGCAAAGCCTTTCCATCCCTGGGGGCTCGTGGCCCTGCAGCCCACCCTGGCTCGCCAGCAGAGCCCAGAGAGCTTCTTCCAGCAGGATCAGGCACAGCAATTTCTGTGCCCAGCCCTGCAGGGATGGGATGGGGCAGGGCTGATGTGGCTGGAAGGCAGATGTGGCAGAGGGAGTAGCTGTAGCCAGGGCCAGCCGGGGGAAGATGGATGGGGTGGGGGATGGAGAGGGGTTGCAGCCTCTTCTCCCACCCCAGCCTCTCTCCTAAGCCGGGACGGAGCGGAGCGGGCTCAGCAGCCGCTGTTCCTGCGCACGAAGGCGTGTCCCCGCACCGAGTGCTGCATCTCGATGAAGGCCAGGTCCCCCACCGTCACCTCGCAGGGACCCAGCGCCTCGAACCCGCACTTCTCGTAGAAGGGCACGAGGAAATCTTCGCACATGAGCAGGGCCCGGCGGGCGAAGGGCAGGCACCGCAGGTACTGCAGGTACCGCCACATCAGGATGGAGCCCTTGCCCTGCTGCCGGAAGGTGCGGTGCACGGCCAGCACGTGGATGTGCACGGCCGTGCCCTGCGGCTTGTGCAGGGTCAGCGCTGCCTGCCGAGGGGGGCGGGAGGGTTAGTGGGCCCATCCTGCTTTGTGGCTGGTTCCCCGCCCCAGTGACCCAAGGTCCTCATCCTCCCCGAAGGGAGAGGGGTCCCCGTGCCATCCCACTTCACCTCCCACCCCGTCATCCTCGGAGGGTTTTTAATTTTAAGATGAACGTTGGGGGGGAATTACTTGGCAGATATTTTTAACAGCATTGTTCAAGTTAATTAATGAGAAGGTAATTTCCACCAGAGCAGCCCTGTAGCGGTTAGTTCTGGGAGAAGACTTGGTGAGTAGTCTCGGGACCCCAGGGAGCTTCCCTTGATTCCCCAGGCTCTGGCAATGCCTCTCCCAGTGCACAAGGTGGGAAGAACAGGGTCTTACCTGGCTGAGCCTCTCCTGATCCCAGAGGGAGCCAATGATGAATGCCACGAGCCGCCCTTCCTCAAACCAGCCGAGGGACAGCTCCGGGCACAGGTTCAGAAAGTGGCGGATCTCGTCCAGGTGGAGGGGACAGTCCCCAGAGACGGATATAAAGGCTGGAGGGGGACAATGGTGAGCTCAGTGAGGGGGCCCAAGGACACCAGGACTCAGAAAATCTCCCAGCACTGATGCAGGGGAGGGAAAGCACGATGTGGTGTCCTGCTGCCTGCCAGGTTTAAAGGAGTTCTAAGGGACACGGATGCTTCCAGGGAGCAGCTTCTCCAGAGACAGCCTCCATGGCCCAGTGACCAGCTCTCTGTTCTCACTGCTAATTCCAGAGCTACAGCAGTGAATGCTGAGTTGAACCCTCCCTCCTGGCACCTCTCCAGCTGCCCTTGGCCTTGGAGAGGAGGGAGAAATGGGCCGGGTGAGTCTGGGTGAGGGAAGCTGGGGTGAGTGGGACAGAGAGTTCATCTCAAAGTGCCCCTGTGCAATAGGAGGCAGAGCATGATGTCCTTCCTCCCACTTCCCCCTCTCTTATCCTGCCCTCTGGCTCTCACAGGACTGTTTTGGGAGAGCTGCTCCCCACTCGCCTGGTCCTACTCAGCCCAGGGCATCACCTCCTGCCATCCCCACCCCAGGCTGAGCTGGGGCTGTGGTTCTCCAGCTCATTAACCACAGCTCCCCCACCTCATTAGGGAGCCCGTGGTGGCCTGGCCACAAGTCACGGCTGCTGTATCCCTCCCCCCGAGGGTACACACCACAGCGTGCCCCGAAGGAGCACGAGGGACTGGTGAAGGAAAGGGACGGGTCATGTCCAGCCGACGGAGCTCCCGCGGGCACCCCGTTACCTTCCCGCTCGATCTCGAACACGCTCACGGCGTCCTCGGGGCTGAGGCAGCGGAACTCGCTGGCGGGCAGCGTGTGCCGGCGCTGGCCCCCCGGCGACCTGCGGGGCGACCCCAGGTGAACGGGCTTCAGGAAAGGCAACGCGCTGAGCGCCGGCATCCTCCTCCTCCTCCTCCTGCCGCCTTGCTTCCCACTGCTCTGCTCGGGGCAGCCTCTGCCGGCTCCCAGACACGGCGGCACGGGCGCCCCTTCCTCCAGCCAAGCTCCTCCAGCACTGTCAGATGCCGAAAATACCTGCGGATCACAAACAGGGTTAGGCTGCTCGTCCCGCTTTTCCTATACACGCGTGTGTGTTTGTACAGCAAATACGCACCCACAGTGACCCTGCCTGGCCTCGCTGTGAGCTGGGGAATGGGAGGCTGGCACGGGCTGTGGGCTGAGCAAACTCCAGGGACCAGGGGGATAAAAGCCCCGTGATCCAGGTGGTGGGATAGAACAGGGAGAGGGGCTGGGACTGTTAGAGCTGGAGCAGGTGTGAGGTTGAGCATCCAGCATCTCCCAATCCATGGCAGCGCCAGGCAGGATGGTCCTGGGGCAAGTCCAGCTGGTGCCCTGGGAACGGGCAGAGTGGGATGTGGCTGCAGGATGCCAAGAAGCTGCAAAAATAAGCATATCTGTGTGAGAGTTCCCTGTGATGCTCTTGTGTTAGTGGAGCTGCACGGCTGTGCCTGAACAAGAGGTCAGGGCTGGGCCACTGCGTGTGCACTGAGGTGCCCTGGCACTGACACACATCAGGCACCCAGAGCCACCTCCTCGAGACAGCACGACCTGACAGGATCTACGCCCTTCTCCAGCTCACTCAGCAGATAAGTGACACAGCTTAACCTCTGTTGGGCTCTTAGGTCACGTCCACGCTCACAGATATGGGTCTGTGGCAGTACTGAGCAGGTGCCTGAGGCTTCACCCCCTGCCTCAGGAGCTTTGATCCCACCAGACACAGCCCATGTCAGGACACTCCACCTGCGACACGGGACCCCAGAGCCCTGGGTTCCCCCAGGAGTGTCACCAGCACCCGAGCTCATCCGGCAGCACCCGTCCTGCACGGCACAGACAAATCCCTCGACCTGGATCAGAGCCTGTAGCTTCAATCTGCCTCTGCTTTCATTTGTGAG